CTCCCCTCAGATAATGCCACCTCATTAATTCGCAACAGGTTACATAAATGTAAGTTACAGCCTACACACAAACAAAAAGTTACACGCATACACATAATTTATTTATTTTTTCAATTTATGTATATTTAATATAATATGGCATTGGATTAAGAAAAAGGTTATAACCCTAGCGTTTCCTATTTCTGGAAATAGCTAAAAACTTTTTTCCACAGGTATTTTCTAAAATACTTACGGTCTCATTTGCAAAATACACGTGTACATATGACCCGATTTCAAGTTAAAACCAAAGGATTTTGCCAAAAATAAACACTTGAAGGTTTCTCTGCAAGTGGGTTTTGCTTACTTAAATGCCATTTTTCCGCTTAAGGATTTGTTTTCATGAAAAACAATACTTTTGAAATATTTATGAAATTTACCACAGTAGAGGAAATTTAAATGGAAGAAAGATAAAATAGGGTACAATGCCTTAAAATGTGTGAGTGAGTTGGACCTAAGAAAATGTACCGTTTTGGACATAAAGGATAAGTGAAATATTTTTAAACATTGTTACTAAAAAAGCATGACTACTAATTAAGGTTCAAAGTTTCTTCAATAATTTCTAGCAGATCTTAGAAATAAATTACCAGTTTAATTACACTTTGCAACCCAAAAATATTATTACGCAGAATATCCAACAGATTGTGAAAGAAGGGCTAAAAATGCAAGCGTATTGATGTTTTAAAAGTTTAAAGTAAAGTAGCCTAAAATTCCCCCCTCCTCCAATTTTTTTTTAACATTTTCGGATTAATTATTAATTATCCGAAGATTATTTGTATATGTGCATTCTGGAATATTGAAGATAAAAGCGCAAATATTATTGGTCTTTGTGGTCCGTTTTTTAAGTATGGTTAAAAAATGCCAAAAAGTCAAAAAAATCTAAAAAAATATTTGCCATTAAAATCTACTGTAGGTAGGTCTAAAACATATTTTAGGGCCATGTGCATTTATGCATTTCATTCGAAATTGTTTATATTATCAACTGCTTAATTAACACTTTTCCATATAAAGTCAAAATCTTTCTTTCTATTTCAAAGTATCAAAGAGAGATATATTCTATACAAAATTTCATTGTGAGTCTCTGAAGAAAAGAAATGTGTAAACCTCATATGTAACACTAAAAAATATCACCAATTTCGGTCTTCGCTGCAAATTTTCTTATAACATGGCCGACCATGTGACATGATATATGGTCAGAGGTCAAAACTCGTTTTGCCGATTTTTTGTAATAATGCCATATAGTTATGCACAAATGTTACCTTTGGTTTTTGACAGTGGCATTTGCCTTATCTTTACTCGATTTTCCATAAAAAACAGTTTCCAAAATGCTTTGTCATTAACTCTCTCGATAGGCAAAATTCTGTAACTATTGGTTTTTTAATTGTGACCCGTAGAGCGACTGCAAAATCCATTTTTTTAGTTTTATGGTCAATTTGAACCCCTAAATATACATATTCAAAACAATAGGCTTCTATTCTGACCCTAACCCTACTTCAATGCATAATTTCGTGAGAATCGGACGATATTTGCGACCTGAATATATTACCCACAACTGGTTTTGAAGGGTGTAAACATATTAAAAAATGTACAAATCAAAATTGTCAAATATGAAAAAATCGGATGCGATTAAAATTTTGACAAAAATACAGGGCGAGATGAAAAAACTGCAACCAAGTTCAGACTGCTGTCATTTCTAAGCCACTCGTCCGACAGCTGTTAAAATTATTCTAGTTACAGCTCATTATATTGTTTACAAGCGTACAATGGCATTTTGGAGAGAATTTTTCAGAAAAAAAGTTATTCGTGATGGAGTTCAAGCGCGATAGTGTGATATCTTTATATTTAGCTGGAAAACCACAAGTGGCTATTGTTAGAGCACTCCAGAACTCCAGCATTTAAATGTGAATAAAAAATGGTTCCTGAGCAGAACATATCGCAATATTCCACTCGGCAAATATTGAAAAATGAGCTCGGGGTAAAGCCATTGAGATTCCGAAAAGTTCAAGAACTTACACCGCAACAGAAAGAAAAAAGACAAAATAATCGTGTTTGCTTGCCAAAGAGGTCAATGGAGAGAGAGAGGTAAATAATAGAGATCCTTGAATTAAATTAAGAATTATTGATACAGGAAATGGATCATATTGGTCCACCCCTTTGTAAGGATAACTCCGATTTCAAATATTTTTTATGTTGTGGCCATGTTTTACATTTTATTTCGGCAAAAACTTTCCAACAGAAGATGTTTAACAAAAATATAGTAAAAATGACACTCAATATAATTTTTTAAGGGATCATACTATATAGAGGTACGGCAATACATTTCTAAATTCTGAGCATCTATGGTTTAGACATTCCTCTAAATATTCGGTAGCTTTAGATTCAACGCTTCACATTTTACGAAGGGAAATGAGTAACATTTGATATTGAAATTTCAGGAGGGCTACATACTTCTCTCGGAGAATATGGTGAAAATAGGTTCACGTTTTTTCATAGGCACCATACAATGGTAGTACCTAATTTTAAGTATTTTGAGGATACATTTCTCAGATTGATCCGATTTAGGTTGTAAAGGTTTTGGCCAAATTGCCCAAAGGCGTTGGGAATTTCATGCACAATCTGTGCACTATATAATTTCGAAATACTCGCCGAGCTAAGTCGGTCTAGCTACTTGTCTTTCTCTGTCTAAGTGCAGGTCACATATACGGCTCTATCGTTATTCAATTTTAAATTGAGTTAGGGTTATTTTTCGAATAGAGGTCTATATTTTTAAAGAGGTTCACAAAGTTCTTCGGCTTTTTTTGTTGTTGTTTTTTAGTTGTTTTACAAGTCAATGAACGCGTAGTTTTTCGTAGTGTAAGTGTCTTGTGTCAGGACGAATCGGCTCGTTTAGGATGATCATCGTATAATATTTAGCGGGTGAAATGGGTCATAACTTTTGTGTGAAAAATACCAAAATTTTACCCCGAGGATAAATCACATATACATAAAAAGGACACTTTTGACCATTGATTGACCATTACATTTATGCTCACAGACATCGCAGAGAGCGTAAATATAGGTTAGTAGCCTTACCCGAAATTTAAATTATAAAGTAATATATTATTTCAATTTTTAATAATTGAAAATGTGATAACGAACCTTGATATTTTGAATGATTTTTTAAGAAGTATAACATTCACCCAGTATTTTAAAGAGATTCATTAATTCTCCTCAAGAGGGCTTAATATGTGTTTTGGTACTGAATATTGGCCATTTTTTTTTTTTTGTATTAAAAAACGTGGTGTGTTTGTTGTTCTAGTCACTATTTTATATTGAATTTGTTTTAAATTGGCAGTTTATATTCCCAGTATGTAGAAAAAGACCCTGCCTTATAATTTGTGTCATAATTTTCAACTGAATCGTTTTAAATTTATTATTTCCAAGTCGAAATGGGTAATAAAAAAATCCAATTCAGTTCCACGTCTTAGTATAACCCTATAAATGTGCATCCCAATATCCATTTTCACCATTTTAGCCACACTTTTTTATCGGAATAACTTTAAGCTTGGTACTTGGGGATCGTAAAGGGTACATGTTCCTTTGTCAGAAAATTGCCATCCGATTTCAATGTTTAACCGCTTCAAGGCTGTAATAGCTACTCATGTAGAACTGCTAAGAGTGCGTCGTGGTGTAGGTCATTATTTAATAGGCATCACCCGATTATTGTCATTTCCTTGCCAGATTTGATTTAAATCACATATATAGCTACCACATAACGACACTGCCCGTATAAGCTATAATTAAGTATTAACCTATATTCTTTACAAATTATTAATACACGTGGACCTCTGTAACCAATTATCTGCCAAAGAAGGCGGAGCGTATTACCAACTCCAAATATCAAATTTGACATAATTCTGTAGAAAAGTGTAGATGAAGCCCTCACAATATAGACTCTGGCAATTATTTGTCATCGGAACTAAAAGTTCCGAGTTTGAAATAATTCTGATGAAATGTGTGGCTAATATCCTCAATATACCGAATGTAGGGATGTACCATTTTATAGAGGCTATACAAAAACGTAGACCTCTATAACTTGAACCTACATGGACAATTTCGACTAAATCAACCAAATCACCTTAAATCTTCTGGTGTAGCTTTATGTCGGCTATACCAAAGCATGGAGCTATGGTACCGGGATATTGGCCCATTTTAAATTTCAAAAAATCTTGAAGACCTTAAATACATCTGAGTAGAATTTTATTAACCTACTGCATTTCGTTCAGAAGCCAGGGTAATTTCAGCAGTCGGATAGACAGAAAGACGGACAGAAGGACGGACATCGCTAAATCGACATAGAATTTTATGCTGATCAAAAACATATATACTTTGTATGGTCTAAAATGTATATTTCGAGGTGTTACAAACGGACTGACAAACTTAATGTACCCTCCATACTATGGCGAAGGGTATAAACATAGAAATCTGTTTTCTTTTGTATTCTTTCGATTTTACGTATGGATATCGCTTCGCATTAAACCAATCTTATCCTATCTTCTCTACTTTGTTTTCAATCCAGTGCCGTGCTACGAGAAAGTCATATACTAAATCGCGAAAAATGTTTCCTAAATATTATTAGGGTGCATTCGGACACATTTTCGGTCATTTTTTCGTTCCCCAAACGTGAGAAGTAAAAAAATTCGTTCCGAATGAAAATAACTAATTTATATATTTTTTTTAAACTTGGAAACAACAACTTGGCATCCCTTTAAAAATGGACTTTAATTTGAAAATTTTAATTTACAAAAAATTTATATCTGAACATGACAGCCCTATTTCTAAGTACATGTAAGCACTACGATAATATGAATCACAATACAGAATTATTGACTATGATGGTGCACATATAGATTTCAATTTATGTAGTTTATAAAAATATTTTCATACATAAAAAATTACAACAATGAACATACTTTTCCACTTACCATTAAATATTATTTTTGTTTTCAAAAAAACAACTTTCGATATTCCTTTTATATTCACGTACACACCCACATCAATTGATTAATTTCAGTGATTTTGTTACGAACTTTTTTTCACACCATATAATTCAATCAATCGTACATCCTTTTTTTTCAGCACGACACAAGAACACATTTAAAATAAATAAATTTAAATGACTTTTTATGACACGTGACTTTGTATTTTTTTTCCCTCCGTTTTTTGTTTCGTGGCAAGGATGTGAATGATGGGTTTTTACAGCGCTGCAAATGTATGAAAAATGTGACTGGCTGACTGACTGACACTCACTTGTTCACCGGCACGTAATCACATTATTTAAAAGAAAACGTACACATACCATGGGACATGTAAGTATATTCCTTCCGCTTATAAATAAAGTACACTGGCTGGATGGCACACGGACTGGACATACAACACCAGGGGTTGGATGTGTGCGCCACAGAAATGTCGAACGAAATATCACTTATTAAACAGCAGTGGGAGTTTGGAGCAAGGACTCAAAATATGGCCAAAATATTACCACTGCCAAAGACATTCACTCACTCACACACACACACACATTCGCCGAATCGCAGACTCCCTGGCAGAAGTCGTTTTTCCAAAATTTAGGTCATACGTTTTTGGAGGAGTAACAACAACCTGATTACGTTGTCTCATACACAGGGAAGCCAACAACAATAAATATTCGAAATCATGAAAATAGACACAATTAAAATCCAATTTGGCGTTATATTTTCTCTACAGTATTCGGTGGGTTATTAGATTGCCGTTGCATTTATTATTATTATTTTTTTTTGTTTTCTAAGAAACAATTATTTTAAAAATTGCAATAGATTTAACCGTTTCCAAGCGAATAAACTAACCGGCTTTTTTCTCTATGTTCTTTTTAATAAACTTCCACGTCGTAGTGTGTGAAGTTTAAGAGAGACAACCTCTATGGACGAACTTAAGCACAGAACTGATTTGATAAATCACAAATAAACGGCGAAAATGATAAGCGAATGCGAATTGTGTGGTGGTCGTTTTTTGCCAACAACACAACTCAACAGTGGCACACACAACAAGAACAGCAACAACAACAGCAGAAAACATCACAGATTTTAATGGGTGGTGAATTTCTGAGGTCGTTGTTTTGAGCAAAAATAAGGGCAACGACTCTCAATTTAACGAAGTTCTTTGCAAAAACGGAGTAATGGAGAGCTATTAAAAAACTCACCACCACGAATGATAGGTTGAGAGAGAAGAGAATTACATTTTGAAAAAGTGTGGGAGAGAGAGCAAGGCACTGGATGAGAATAAAATAATTGCCTGCACTTTTCAAGCTCTGCCTCTCTGAGTAACCATTACGGTGTTATTGTTTTTTGCTATCGAACGAAGCACGTGCTGACTGTTTTGTTGTTTGTTTTCTTGGGGAAGGTTAGTGCAACAGGTGTTTGTTTTTGTTTTTTATACATGAATGGGTCTTTGCATCTGTGGGTGGCTGATATGCCTGTGCAGATTTGTGTTGGAGTTGGGTGATAAGTGTTATACGAAACTGTGGTGGGTTGATTTTAAAAAATGGTAGCCCAGTGGGTTTGTGTATTGAATTTAAAGTAGCTCCATGTGATGTCAATAGATGGCGCAATGTATTTGGGCTACTCAAAAGTGCAGTTCCTTTGCAATTATAACTACAAATTTGCAATTATAACTAGAAATTTTCAAAGAAGATAATTTAGCTTATAAGACAATGATACTTCGGTATACTCTCTCTGGTTAGACATTTAAGTAAAAATTAATACTATAGAGTGTAAATGCTCTGAAACATTGTAGCATATACATGTATATCACACTTAGGTTACATACCAAATAGACAATAAAGGGTCAAAAGCGAATAGACATTGGCTCAGGGTATACAGCAAAATCGATAGATATTTTTTAACTAGTTTCAAAAACATTTTGGCTCCAGTAAAAAAAAAACAGTAAAAAAGCTGTAATTTCGGCGAGCCGAACTTTGAATACCCTCCCCCATTTGGTAAACAATTTTCAAAAAAATAAAACCCGTTAACAATTCTGTTAAAATCTTAAAAATACCGAATGGAGCCGTATATTAGGGACTATACGACGACGTGGACCTGAATAGGCAACTTTTGTCACAAGCTATTACAATATTCAAATGCGAAACTTGAAAAAAAATCTGTTTATAATGTAGCTAAAATCATCAAAATACCGAATAGAGGAAGGTACCATGGGCGTTATAAAACGTGGACCTGGACAGACAATTTTTTGTCATAGGCTGTAGTATCCATTACGAACTTTAAATACAAAATTTGAAATAATTCCGGTAAATAATGTCGCTAAAATCATCAAAATACCGAATATCGGGGGTACCGTTATATGGGGTCTATGCGAAGACGTGGTCCTGCACAGACAGTTTTCTGTCATAGGCTGTAGTATTCATTACGAACTTAAAATAAAAAATTTGAAATAGTTCTGGTAAACAATGTCTCTAAAATCATCAGAATACTCAATATTGGGAGGTACCGTTGTATGGGGGCTATACGAAGACGTAGATCTACATGGCTCATTTTCTGTCTTAGGATGTAGTATATATTACGAACTTCAAATACCAAAATTGAAACAATTCCGGTAAACAATGTCGCTAAAATCATCAAAACACCGAATATCGGAAGGTGCCGTTATATGGGGGCTATACGAAGACGTTTACCTACATGGCCCATTTTTAAAAGTCCTGCAGACATAATACACATTTGAGTAAAATTTTATCAACCTACTTTATTTCGTTCGGAAGCTTGAGTGATTTCCACAGACGGACGGACATGACCAAGAATATATATACTTTGTGGGGTCTAAAGTGTATATTTCGAGGTGTTATAAACGGAATGACAAACTTAATATACCCTCTATACTATCGTGGAGGGTATAAAAAATGGAGAAGTTTGTTCGAACCAGCTACCCTAGGTTTTGTGCCCTCATTACTTGAAAAGGTAAATACATTATTTTGCTTTTACATTTTGTAAAAAAAATGAATCATTTTAAGCTTACAGGTAATGCAAATGACATGTAGTTGTCATTACTAGTAGTGCTAATAGTGATGATGGTACATACCGATGCAATTTTTCCTGGCTAGCTTCCATATATCTATACCAAACGATTTTGCATTTAAACAGTTTTAAGGCCTTAATATTCTATGGTCATAAAGTTTGTCACGGTAGTTCCACAGCTAATAGATTCAAAATCGGCAGAAATTGAAATTAGAAATAGGTGAAATTTTCAGAAAATCGGATGTTCCAATTAGTTGAAAGAGGTTGCTCAAAATGTGTGGTGCAAATACTAAAATTTGCTACCTTTCGACTTTATCGGATTCTAACAATTTTGTATGTGAAGCCTGTACGTTTTTCAGGTGTATGTTGACTTTTTTGGGCAGAAGGAGCAAAGATATCAGATGGATAGAAGAACTACGATGTGAGAAGATTGGAACAAATCTTTAAGGAAAATAGACTGGCAGATTTCACATGCAGGTCCATGTGTAGATCATCCACAAACAAAGACCTAAAATGGTAGACTGGACAAAATGCATAATGGAAAAATAGTTAATGTGAAAAATATATAGAGGCGCTGCTCACAACAGTGACATGTTAGAATAAAAATTATATTTACACAGCAATTTTAAGAATAAAATTTTCTGAAAACCAAAAATTTGAACTAAAAATTGCATTCCACTGACGTTTGAATATTGCATTTGCTGTTAAAACAACTTAACATTGGTGATTATGTTGTTATGATATCGTAACAACAGAGGTATTTACATCTGGTGACAATATTTGGACTCTGTCTTGTCCCATCTTTATACTTCTATGTCTTTGCCACAAAGGCCTTGAAAGGAATCTCATCCAAAGAAGCATGTCGATCTGTAGTCCACAAGACAACTGATTATGTCCTGTTATTATACCCTCAGCCATATGGCTAGAGAGGGTATATATCATTTGATACGGTCCAAATGTGCCTCATCGAAATAACATTTTTAAAGAAAATTTATTACTGCACAGAAAGAGAAAGGGTAATCCGCTCTAACTTTGCACATCCTAATATTGGTATTAGTGCTAGGTCAGGTGCGAAAATTGACAATATCGGTCAATTCCCACAAAGGGTCAACTTTTTGAATAATTATAACTCTTATAAACTATGATGTACATGCCCGTCTATCTTGTTATTAGACACAACACAATGTTTTTATTAACCCAAGGTCTTGTGTGAAGATGGAATATATCGGTCCACTCCTTCTGGTACCTCCCCCACGAAGGGTCAACATTTTGAAGATTCATGAAACTCAAAAAATTAACATCCGATTCCATTCAGACTTGGCATATCAAAAATTTTTTTTTATCAACACAAGACCTGTTATAAAGATGGCAGAGATGGAACAAAGTTTTGAATAATTGAATCATCAAAGTAATGAATAATTATCATAAATCCGAAATAAGGATCCAGTTCTCTTCATATTTCACACAACTCATTATTTGTACTAACACAATATTTGCTGTGTAGATTTGATATATCGGTTCACTTCTTCTGGTACCTCCCCCAAAAAGGTCAAAATGTTGAATATCCATGAACTTCAGAAAACGTGTAATTAACATCCGATTCCATTCAAACTTGCCATCTCAACATATCTAACAACACAAGGTATGTGGTGGTAGAGATCGCTTTTTTTTTTGGTTACTCTCCACATAGGATTCACGATTTTGAAAAACAAAACGCTTAAAGAAAGTGAAATAACCATCCAGTTCTCTTCAAATTTCACAGACACAAACATTTTCTATTGTGAAGATGACATATACAGGGTTGCCCATATTCGACTTACCAATGATCCATTTCGATGACTCTTAGGGCCCATTCCAATCGACGAGGCTTGTCCGCAGGCAACATTCTTTGCGTCAATTGAATTTTGTACGGGAACAAATGCAAATCAATGCGAATAATCCGTTGTAGAGTAGACCGAGCCATGCCCAACTGCTGAGAACGGCGTTTTTGGGATGTTCTTGGGAACCTCTCAACACTGGCTCGTACGGCAGCTATATTTTCGGCCGATCGCCTTGGTCGACTTTTATATGGCCTCTTCGGATTAGAAAGAGCCTTACCAGTCGAACATTTTTCGTATAAACGCTTAATTGTGTTCTTAGAAGGCGCACTTCTCACATTTTTAATGTTTTAAAAGCACATTGAGTTTTCACTATTGACTTCTTGTAAATTTCAACTACTTCAGAGCGCTCGAGTGGCGTGTATGGGTTCATGGTAAAAATCAGCTTGGACTGACGCTTCAAACGCGGTATGTCATTAAGCGATGTGACATCTCTGTCAAAAGTTATGGCGTTGCCAGATGGGTCCGTCGGATATGGGCAACCCTGTATCTGCGAAATCCTTCTTGTACTTCACCCACAATTTTTAATAACTTTGTCTAACAAGTCAGCGATTCTTTACAACTTGTTATATTTAAATATTTCTCTCGACTAGAAACCTGAGAGGAATATTGAATTTATGATTTCGCATAAAACTGAAACATTTTCGATTTTCTTGTAATTTTGCCCATACCAATGAAATAATTTGGCCAGCTATATCTCGTATAAAGTGGAGGAAATTTGAATACTATCCACTAATTGGAAACAATTTGGAAATTTTGAAAAAAAAAAAGCAAGTAAAAAAGCATTAAGTTCGGCCGGGCCGAACTTTGAATACCCTCCACCATTTGGAACGAATTAGAAAATTCTCACAAAAAAAAAAAAAATATTAAAATCCATTAAAAATTCTAAAATATTAAAATATCTAATATAGGAAGGTGCCGATATAGGGGCATATACGATATTGTGGACCTATAACGACAAATCTATGTCTGCGTGTAAAGTACTCACAAGGAACCCCTTGTGTGGATTTTCAGATAATTC